GGGGCGATCAGGTGCATTTTTGCAGTGATCAAGAGGTGAAATGGCAAAAGTTGCAGTGAACGAGGGTGACGTTGGTAGGTATGCAAGAGGGACCCATCCGGTACAGGGTAGAGAGCGTTTCTGCCTGGCACTGCAGACACTCGTTTCGTGATACCCTTGGGTACTGTATGTGTTTTTACGAGTACACCACGTGTACATGCTGTCACGGAGCACACGTGTTCCAGACAGCGACCAGCAGTGTGGCCCGAACCGCATGCGACCACACAGTGCGTGTTCCCGCGTGTTCCCGGGGGGAGAAGCACGCGGCAACCCTCGCATCGCCGTCACCGGCGGAAGAGCCGACCGGTGAGCGGCGGCATGCGGCTTCGCAGGGCCCCGACCGAGCGGCGCGTCGTGCGCGCGATGCGAATCGAGGGGCGGCGGGCCGGGAATCGGGGCGCGCGCGCCGCGGTAAAGGCAACTAACAGTGGCCGGTTCGATTCATGACGCCGCTTGCACGACGCCCGGCTCGCAGGAAAAGTAAACCGAAAACCGCTTCCCGCCCGCCGGTGTCAGTAAACGTCGCGCCGCAACCCCCCCGCATGCACTTGCTGCCGACGCCGCGTCAGCCGCCCCCTCCCCTCTTTTCGCGCGCCTCGTGCCCGCGCCCCAGCCTCCACCCCCCGTTGCACGCATATAACCACAATACACGCCGCGCACACAGTCCCCGCTCCGCATCTACTACAACCTTCCTCTCGTGCAACGCGGTAGCCGTCACTGATTCACTGTATCAGAGAAGAGAAACCAACTCCGAAATCGCTGCATCATGTCGACTCCGCGCTTTGTTCTAACTTTGCTTTTCGCGCTATTGGGTCTGTGTGCCGTTGCCGTCGCGGAGCTGGGGACGGAGGAGGCCCTTCCGGACGACGCGGTGGATCACGAATTCTTGAACCACGAGGACTGGGATAACGTGCAAGTGTCCGGATACACCGCCGACTCGCTTTATGAAAAAGGCGAAGACGAGATGCAGTTCGACCCGCAAGATGATCTCGTTGTCCGCGGCTTTTCGACAGAGGACGAGCCGGTCGAAGAATATCTCCCGGAAGGCGACCGCCCGCCTTTACAGGAAGACCCCTCCATCGCGGACGAAGATTACAACCCCGCCGACTGGGACCTCAAAATCGATGCCGAGGAAGAGAAGGTCGAGATCAAGGGGCAGGCCGTCCTTCAGATGGCGGGAGAAGTCAAGCCGCAGCGACTTGCAGACCCTGAGAAGAACCAACCACCGCACGCCAAGGAGGCCGACTCAAATGTTGATGCCCTTGATGATGTTGTCAAGATGGAAAAGGAGCATGTGGCAGACACTTCTGCAGCCGATGACCACCATCACGACGAGGTCGTCTCAGAGATGGAAAGCGCCGCCCAAGGTGAGCTTGCCGAAACCGACCGTGAGGAGGACAACATGGACTTCAGTGATGCATCAACAGACAATATGCTAGACGACGAGGATGACATGGACGAGCTCGACGAGATCATGGATGTTGACGACCTCGAGGGCGTGAAGGAGGTGTACACAGACTCGGATCCCGACTCCGCGTTGACTGATGAGCAGCTCGCCCAGGTGCAAGTCGAGGGGCAGGCCGTGCTCAAAGGCGACGAACAGGGGGACTTCCTATTCGAACTTGAAGACGTGGAGCAACCGGGCGCGATGCTTTCTAGCTCGCGCCTAGAGGAGGACTTCATCGTCACGGGACAGTCTGTTAAGGTTGCAGACGATGAATACGACGACGAGGATTCGGCTGGGGCTGAGGACATGCTTCTTGAAGCCTCTGAACGTCACCAGAAGCACAAGATCAAGAGGCTATTTGAAGACTCGGTCGCCAGTCTGGAGCTGTGAAAGGCTTTTAAGGATAGAAATAGCGATGCACCACACGAAGCATAGAAAGTTGGCCCCCTTTTGGCCTCAACCGTTTTAGAGCTGATTGCAATGACTTCAATGACAAGTTCACCTTGCGAGTCTGCAAAATTAGAACTATCCCTCTGTTTCTCCCCATGGCTATCGTAGAAACGCACCTCGTTAGTTAGGAACAAAAACTTATCTTTACTCCTTACCAAAAACTACCTCTTCCCCTTCCTCTACCTCCTCTCCCGTCAATAATTGGGGAAGGATGGCAACAGCCGCAACCGTATCCTTTTGCCCGAGTCGTTGAATCCTCACCCCTCGGGAATACCTGCGTTGAACTGGGATGTCCTTCACTAGTGTGCGTACAATTGTTCCATCGCAAGTCACGACCATGACGGAGTCATCGTCGTGGCAAGTCTGTAGAGAAACAATACAGTCGCCACGGCCATTGGCTTTGAATTTCATGCCAATCATTCCGCGACCTCCACGACATTGCATCCGAAAAGAGTTTGCATCGATTCGTTTACCTGCCCCGTGGCGCGTGACCGCAAGAACGTACGACGCGTCCGGGTCTTCCGCAACATTCACGTCTTCGTCTTCCTCCTCGTCCATTGCACCCTCATCCTCTTCAGAAACATTTCCTTCGATCATGCCATGCGCGCTCATGATGTCCATATCTGCAATTGCATCACCAGCCACCAATCGCATTGACCGCACACCTCTGGATTGCCTTCCCGAGGCTCTCAAGTTCTGGTTGTTTGTTGCGAAGCGAATAATGTATCCCTTCTGGGAAGCGATCAGCATCGAGTCCTTCTCTGTACAGTGGCGGACCCATTTCAGCTCATCGCCGTCATCCAAAGCAATAATTCGCTTCCCACCGGCATTGAGGGATTCAAAAACGGAAGCAGCAGTCTTCTTCACATAACCATTTCTTGTCAAAAGGACCAAAAACTGACGATCCGAAAAATCAGTGACAGATAAAACAGAGGCCGCAGCTTCACCGGCCGGAACTGCTGGAAGAAGCTGGAAAAGAGGGACACCCCGCGAACCCAGAGACGCAAGGGGCACTTTGTGCGCTGAGATTTTATATGCGACTCCAGATTTCGAGATTGCAATCAAAGAATCGTGAGACATGCACGAAAAAAAGTGCACAATCCTGTCTCCCTCTCGCAGTTTCCCAGCTCCTCGTTTACCTCGGCCTCCGCGATTCTGATTCTCAAATGCAGACGTCGGCATCCGTTTTACGTACCCTTTCTCTGTCACCGTGATGACGGAACGTTCGTTCGAAAACAATGACAGCTCATCAATTTCAGTAGACCCATCGCCCCTTCCCATAATGATCTTCGATCGACGCGGACCGGCATGGCGGTCGGAAATATCAGTCAACTCATCAACAATGATCGCATCGAGTTCCGTCGGTGTGGACAAAATGCCTTTGTACTTGGCAATATCTCCCTGCAGGGTCTCACTTTCGTCGACCAGGCGATTCTTTTCTAACGACGTCAGCCTCTTCAACTGCATCGCAAGAACGGAGTCTGCCTGCCTCGCACTGAGGCTGAGACGTTTCATCAGTTTCCCCCGAGCCTCCGCGCTGTCCTGCGATCCCCGAATATCCGCGATCGCCGAGTCAATATCCTCCTGCACGATCAGAAAGCCTTGCACAATATGGAATCGATCCTCCGCCTTGCGCAGATCAAACTGGACCCTGCGCCGAATTGTCTCGCGGCGAAACTTGAGAAACTTCTCAAGACAATTGCGTAACGTGAGACGGATGGGAAAGCGACCATTATCCAGCGCCATGACGTTTGCCGAAAAGGAAGACTGTAGCTGCGTCTTCTTGAACAAATTATTCAATACAACCTCGAGCATTGCATCGCGCTTCAACTCGATGACGATCCGGGTCCCATTCCGGTCCGACTCATCGCGCAAATCCGCCACGCCATCCAGCTTCTTGTCATTCACCAACTCGGCAATCTTACCCACCAGCGTGGCCTTGTTCACCTGATACGGCAGCTCCGTAACCACAATCGCCTCCCTCTGTTGCCTCCTCGTGCTACCGTCGTCTCCTCCGACAACCTCCGGATGCACGCACGCCCTCACGACGATACGGCCGCGCCCCTCCATGTGCATATCGCGGGCGCCATCCGTGCCCAAGATCTGGCCACCCGTCGGAAAGTCCGGCGCCGGCACGAGCGCGAGCAGGTCGTCATCCGACAGCTCCGGGTCCGCGATGATGGCCTTGAGGGCGGCGACGACCTCGCCCAGGTTGTGCGGGGGGATGTTAGTGGCCATACCGACGGCGATACCCGAGCTGCCATTAACCAGCAAGTTGGGGACCTTCGCCGGCAGCACAAGCGGCTCGGACTCCGAGCCGTCGAAATTGGGCGAGTACGAGACGGTGTCCCTGCCCATGTCTGCCAGGAAGACATCGCGGGTGAGGTGGGCGAGCTTGCACTCTGTGTAGCGCATGGCGGCGGCCGGGTCGCCGTCCGTGGAGCCGAAGTTTCCGTGTCCGTTGACGAGCGGGATGGACATGGCGAACGGCTGCGCCATGCGCACGAGCGCGTCATACACGGCCGTGTCCCCGTGTGGGTGGTACTTGCCCAGCACCTCGCCGACCACGCGCGCGCTCTTGCGGAACTGACCACCGGGCGACAGACCGAGCTCGTGCATCGCGAACAGGATGCGGCGGTGCACCGGCTTCAGCCCGTCCCGCACGTCCGGCATCGCCCGCCCCAGGATGACGGACATGGCGTACTCCATGTACGACCGCGTCATCTCCTGCTTCAGATCGGCAGGCACGATTCCGGGGGTGGGTGGGAGGCCGTTGCGCGCGGAGGCCGTGGCTAGGAAGCGCGAGCGCGCGCGCTTGCGCAGTGGGGCATGTCGCGAGCTTAGGTTGCGCTGGATGAAGGGGACAGTGAAGGTGGTCAGGCGCGGGTTCGCCGAGGAGATGAAAAGGGTCCCGCTGGTGCGGGCGGTTGGCGGCGGGAGCATTGCGGCAGTGAGTGATGGGTGCGGGGATGAGATGAGGGACGAGGCGACCATGCTCGTGCGGTAAAAGGAAAGCAGACGAGCGGGACGATGCGGATTTGAGGACATCGGCGGTCAGGGGGTTGAGAGATAATTGATCCGGACACGTGTGCGGAGGAAGGCTATTAATTCGTTAATTGAACAGTACACGTATTACATGTGTCAGTGCCGTTACATGGTGAGGTCCCTCAGCTAACGACGACGGAACGACTGATGTAACTTTATCTGCGACGGGAGCTCAGGGGTTTTTGGGCGTCGATTAAGTTTAATTGCACGGAGTTACACACCCACTTCTACATGTATCGTAGGACGTCATCAAGCAACCGAATTCGCACCTGCAAAGGTTTGACAAAAAACAAAGACCCACCACCTCCCTCTCTCACTCGTCCTCCTGCGGCTCTTCTCCATCCCCCGCACCCCACAAACCGAGGCCGAGGCCCGATAGTCACTTCTTCCCAAAGTTGAAGAAGCCCTCGCCCTTCTTCGACTTCTTCTTCTCGCCCGCCCCGTTCGCGCTGGCCGCCGCCTTCCGCCCCTTGCCGCTACTGAGCTCGTCCAGCTCCTGCACCAGCCTCTTCTCCTCGCCGGACAGCCGCGTCGGGATCTTGACCACCACCGTCACGAAGTGGTCCCCGCGCACCGCCTTGTTCCCAATCTTCGGCACGCCCTTGCCCGTGATCCTCAGAACGGCCCCGGGCTGCGTGCCAGCTCCGAGCGTCACGTCCTCGTTCCCGTCCACGGTCTTGACCATGATATTCCTCCCCAAAATTGCGTCCAGATACGACACATTCACCTTGGAGTAGATGTTGCTCCCATCCCTGGTAAAGTCCTTGCTGTCCGTCACCCTGAGCATTACGTACAAATCCCCGGGCGGCCCGCCCCTCGGCCCGGCGTCGCCTTCCCCTCGCACCCTGAGCCTAGAGCCGGTATCCACGCCAGCCGGGATTGTAATCATAAGCTGCTTGGTCGTCTGGTTCCTCCCTCTGCCGCCGCACGACGAGCAGTACTCGTCCACCACCTCGCCCGTCCCCCTGCACGTCGTGCAGCTCCCCGTCTGCTGGAACATGCCCAGTGGGGTGCGCACCACCTGCGTCGCAGTCCCCGTCCCATCACACGCCGAGCAGCTCCTCGGCTTCGTCCCGGGCTTTACACCGGAGCCCTCACAAGTACCGCAGCTCTCAAGGTGTGAGAACCTGATCTTCTGCTCTGCCCCAAATACGGCCCTATCGAACGGGACGTCGACATCCAACCTAAGGTCATCGCCGGGCTGCGGGCCAGCCCTACGCCTGGAGCGTTGTCCGGTCGCGCCGCCCTGTCCGCCGAAGAAGGTGTCGAAGATATCCGAGAACGAGCCGAAGTCCTGTCCAAAGTCGGCGAAGCCCTGCCCCTGGGACGCGGCGCCGCTCTTGACGCCGGCCTCGCCGAACTGGTCGTAGCGCTGGCGAAGGGAGGAGTCGGACAGGATCTCATACGCGCGCGACACCTCCTGGAAGCGCTCCTTCGCGTCGGCGGCCTTGTTCACGTCCGGGTGCAGCTTGCGCGCCTTCTGGCGGAACGCAGACTTGATCTCCGCGTCCGACGCCGACCGCGACACGCCCAGGGTCTGGTAGTAGTCGGCGTCGGCGCGCGGCGTGATGCGCGACGGCAGCGCGCCGCGGCGCGCAGGCCGCGCCGGCCGCGCCGCCGGCCGCGCGCACGCGCGCCGCCCCGTGAAGGGTGTGCGCGCGCCGCGCGCGGAGAGCGGGACGGAGGGCGCGAAGGCCGCGGTTGGCATGGGCATGATGGCGGTGGGGGCGTGCGCGGGGAGGCTGGTGCTCTGGGAGTGTGAGGGGCGCGGAGAGCGGAGGCTGAGAGTGGGTTTGTAGGCGCGTCCGACGGCCGGCGGGAGAGGGAGAGGTGGTCGCACAAGGCGGAATTGACGGTGCGCGTGAGCTCGCGGTATGGGACGCAGGCGCTGAGATGTCGCAACGGGATCAAGCGGACGGTTCTAGAAATGCCGCCCCAATTGATTTGGCCTACAACCATTTGCTGAGACATAATTAACTCGGTGCTCACCCGTGTACAGGTGTACCCGTGTACAGGTGTACCGTGTGGGTAACGTACATTTGGACTGTCGGTCAGGTAAAAAGTTTTTACCAAAACTGCACCGCATTGATCGGACAGTACTGTGGGATTTCGTGAGGAATTCCTTAAAAGAATTAGAAAAAGAGATTTTATTAAAGTGTCAATGGACAGGTCTACGACCGACCGTCCGAGCCCGTGCGAAGTCCGTGCAGTGGGACAGTTTTCGCAGGTAGGCTCTGCGTTTTGACACAAACCTCTGGCCCGGAACGAACCTACAGTCCGAAGCGCGAGCCCTACTTATATACTACTTAACCCTTACAGTACCATAAAGAAAGACAAGTTCTGACGCATCCAGCAACAACACAAATGGATGCGCCTCCGTATCATAATTGTTTCACACTGCCACTTTTCCGATGGCGGAACTTGGCTGTGTACGATAAATCCACTTCTTGACCGGATTGCGGTCATAGCCACTACTTATAAGCCTCTCAAGAGCGTTGTTAGGGGTCTCCTTTGTGAGACCGTCCGCTATGTTGTGTTCTGACGAAACAAGGCCTACGTGCGAGATTTCTTGTCGGTTATAGCATTCCCTAGCTGAGGCTATGTCTATCATGAGCCTTTTCTCAGTGGTGGACGAACCTTTTGTAATCACATCAAACATTTGTAGTGAGTCCGTAAGCATATGCAGAGGGATCTTCATTCTAAAGATCGTTTCCAAGTCGTGTCTCAGAATAAAAGCACGATCAAAACCGGAAGCAAAAGCGTATACTTCTCCTCCGAGTATAGACCGAACTACCCTCTTCGACTTTCTGCTTGAATATTCCAGTATGTGAGCACGATCTGAAGTATCACATAGCAGAATTATGAAACCGAGTTGCGACGAAAGATCATCATTTCCGGCAAAAGAAGCATCAGTGTAAACCCTCATGTGAAGAGAGTCCTTCTGCAATGGGTAGAAATTTAGACACCTGCTATGTGTCCCTTTCAGGTGTTTAACTGTGCAATTGAAAGACTTCAGTTTTTCAATCCCGAAAGTCTTCTCCGTTACTTGCGCGGCTTTGTTTATGGCACATAGAGCGTCAGGTCGTGTGTAGCCAATCCATGCCAGAACAGACCGGTAAGACCTAAAACGTTCAAATGATGCGTCCATTGGTATAGGCTTAAGCTTCTTTGTATAAGCTTCCTGTGTAACTGAGAACGAGCCGTCTGCATGAGTTTGGATTGAGGTTCCGAAGAACTCAAAGTTGTCCCAAACTCGTTCCTTTGAGTCAAACTTCTTGAGAGAAAGTTTGGTAAGCTCTTGCATGTCATCATTTCCACCAAGGAAGCTGTCATCGACGTACATTCCAAGCAGGCCGTCAAGGTCTTCCTCGTTTCGTTTCACATATAACGAGGGGTCCCCGAGTAGAGGAACTAGGCCTAAGTCACGCTTGACGTGACGGTCAACTGTAACTCCCCAATAGCCTCCAGCGTCTGTCATACCATATATAGGCTTAAGAAGTTCGAGTATGTCCTCCTCACAAAGACCAAAATACTTGAGATCTGCCCTTTTTGGGAGGAGAAACACCTTGCGTGTCAGTTTGTCCTCGCTTTGTAGGTAGGCTTGTCTCACGTCATGAGAAAAGAGGCGAAATCCTTTGACCGCAGATACCGACACAATGATCCGAGTCGAACTTTGACGTAGAGTCGTAATGTTGTGGACCATATGTACTTTTTCTTGATCGCAGTTGCCTTGGGCAACGTAGCGAGCCTTAGCGCGTTCGTCTGCAGAACCGAAGTTCTTCAAAGTGAGGACGAAACGGCCACTTACGACATTTGCCTTGTGGGGCAACGACGTTTTGGGAATTACTTGCCATGTTTCCCTTTTTTGCAGTCCGTTCACCTCCTCCTCCATGGCCTTACAGAACTTAGACGATTTTGTAGCGATGTCGCTTTGATCAATGACCTGTGTCATGAGTGCTTGCGTTACAGACGTGATCTCATTTCTTGTGAGCATCTCGGGGGTGCTTAACGGCACATTTAGATCCTGTCGCACAGTATCGCTAAACCCGTTTGGTGCTGGAGGAGGCGTCCCCCTGATTCTTTCAAGTATCGTGTCTATATCCCTTAACACATCTTCATTGTCGGCAGTGAAATTGTATGAATCATCGTTATTCACTGCAAGCGGTGTGCAGTCTGGGATAACAGGAGGGCTGTTGTAGGATTTAACTTTGTCGATGGATACATTCATAATCTTTCCCTCGAGCTGTATCGTTACACTCTTGTCTTTGAAATCCAGAACAAGGTATGGTCCAGTCCATTGGTCCTCTGGCTTTTCTCGATAGAGAAGTACACGAGAGCCTATTACAATATCATTGTCCGCTGCGGATGGGACGTTCATGCGCACGGCCCTAGAAATTCGTTCCTTGGCCATGACAGACGCCATCTCTTTTCGCGCAGATTCCATAGCTTTCATACGGTTCATCTGCGCGGGTAAGTCCATAGGAACAATTGGTATCCTTGGCATTGCACCAAACACGAGGAGCGTAGGTACCAAACTATGATACCCTGCCGTGTCATTCATTGCTTTTAATGACAACGAAAGACAGTGACTCCTTTCAATCCCTGGGTGTTGGAGTCGGACTTTGCGATATATATCCCTCAGAAAGGCATGATATCGTTCTCCAACGCCCAAAGCATTATGACTCTGCACCCCAGACTGGAAGTGCTTGATTCCCGCCAACAACAAGAGCGTCTTCCATCGTTGTGACTTGAACTGTGGTCCTTGGTCTGTTGCCATCGCGTCGGGAAAACCGATGTACACACAGACCCAAATGTTCATGAAAGTGTTCCAAGTTGCGTCTGCAGTCTCCTTTCCGAGGAATGCAGCTGCAGAGAACTTGGTGTCCTTGTCCACAACATGCAGTACTGGTGTGTTCTCCAGATACATAAGGTCCAAACATAAGGTTCGATTGAACACTACATCTGCATCAGGTAATGAAACTCTGAAACGATGAGGGGCCCGACTGCGACGTTGACAAAGGTCGCACGTAGAGCTGATTCGCTTCAAGGTCCGGAGTACTTCCGGTGATGTCTTATCGGGTTCAGCGCGGCTCATTACGGAGTAAAGGCGCTCAGAATCAGGATGATGAAAGTGTCTGTGTACTTTCATAAGTTCGGACTCCGTGAATAATATGTTCGGTCCCCATTCATAGTACAAGTGGCCAAGTTTCTTCCGAAGGCGTATCTGCCACCCTTCAAGCTTCGAAGATAGCATGCCCTTATCCGTGTCAAGTACCATCTTGTATTTCTCCATGTTGTCCAGTCCAAGGAGAAAGGGAACATTGGTATCTACAACTTCAACCGAGAGAGAAATGAAGTGTGTTGGTGCTATTGGGACCCGCACTGTCAACAAACCAAGCCCGAGATGTTTGTGCGTCCCAAAGCTGAAAACGTTCTTAGCATTTGATGTTGAAGGACTGTAGGGGACATTGAACAAGCTACAGTATGCTTTGGCTTGCTCAACACCAACGACAGACTTTTGAGCGGCTGAATCTATGCATATCCCGTGAAAGGGGTCGCCTACAGTCACGTTCCATGACTTGCTTGTGAGGTAGACGTGGTTAATAGCATCACTGCCTGAGTCCGTGGGATGTTCTGTGGAGTCGACATCATCCGTTGTGTCATTTCCGCTTAGAATGCTTTCAAATATAGTTATGTCCGTCGTTTCTGTCTCCTCTTCCGAGTCATCTTCCGGCGCAGAGCCAATGTCAAGTTGTTGGCATAAGTCGGCGAGGACATGATGGACGGCAATTGGCTTTGTGTCTGCCTTCTTTGCGTAGTATTCCATCTTACGGGTTGCTGCTCTAGATGTGTTGAGCGGGAGAGTGCAGTCCCTGAGCAAGTGGTTACCTCCACAATTGAAGCAACCCGATACTGTCAGCGGGTTGAACTTTACCTTCTGCTTAGTCGTAGAGGGTGATCTGAAAGCCCTTCCGCCAAAGCGAGGCTGCCGGGTACTTGTCTGGTCTCGTTCACGCGGGTAGGGAGAATTGTTGTAATACCTGCCCTGTCCAGTGTACAGAATGCCGGCCGAGCTGTCATGGGAAACGGAACGCTGATTCAGTTGTGCACGATCGCGAATGATTGCTATCTTGGACTCTTTATCCAGTTGTAGCGCTGCTTCAAGCTCTGAGTAGAGTTGTTGGAATGTGAGTTGGTGCGTTGCCACTCTACTGAGCGGTTCGCTGGACCATGGCATTCCTACAACAGCATTTCGGAGGAATTCAACCTTGTGAGCGTCTCCTTGATGGGAGCGCGGACCTTGACGGGAGAATTTGGTAATTGACTTGCAAGTCAAAGCTAGAGCAGCGGACATTTCCTTCCCTTCTGCAGCGAAAACAGTCACGCGGAGGGAGTTGAGATAGTTTTTGACTCGGGTTTGGCGGACAGGGGAGTTGTACTCCTCCTCGAGCATTTGGATAGCTTGCTGAAAGCTGGTCGCATATCCATCGATTTTGTCAAGATAATACCTTTTAGCATCCCCTCGCAGTAAATTGTGAAGAAACTGGAGTCGCTGAGGAGGACTGAGGTTGTAGTCCCTGGAAATCTGAAGATAGTCGTCTACATACTCCATCCAGGACTCGCCCAAGTCCCCTGAGAATTTCTTCTCTTTCTCCTTCATTCGCATAGCGACGTTATGGGCTACCTTCTCAGTCGGGGTACTGAAGGATCCGC